GGGGGGCCGGGTGGGGGGCCGGGTGGGGCAGAAGGAGGCAGGGCTAATGGTGTGGGGTGGGGCAGCTGGGTGGAAGGAGCCCCTGTACCTTGGCTGGACCAGCTCTTCCGTGTAGGCTGTCACGGAGCTGGGCTGAGGGTGCTAGACCGAGGGGGCAGCTCTTCAGAGTCTCTGCCTTCTCAGTCTATGTGGGTGAGTGGGTTGGAAGTGCGTCATGGCCTCTGTCCCCAGGGCTTAGGCTGGTGAGCTGTGTGTCAATTGTCCTGGGCTCAGTGAGTGGTGTGGTGGCTGGCTTAGGCTGAGCCTGCATCACAGACAGCGGAGTCAGCCCTGCCAGGCCTGACAATGTGTCTTAGTTCTCTAGGGCTGTTAATCACCACACACAGGGGCTTTAACAAACAGAAGTCTATTTTCTCGCAGTTCGAGAGGCTACAAGCCTGAATTAGGGGCTCTCGCTCTAGACGGAGGCTTTCTTTCTGTTGGCTGTGGGGGCAGATCCTCGTCTCCTCTCATTGTCTGGGCCCAGTGTCCCTCGGGGATCTCCATGTGTCTTGGCACCAGTCTTCCCCTGGGTCTGGGAGGTTCTCAAGGCAGGGACCTGACATCTAAAGGACACACTCTGCTCCTGGCTCTTTCTTGGTAGCAGTGGGTCCCGCCTTCTCTGGTCACCTCTCCTTTTCTCTCTTGAGAGGTAAAAGGTGTGATGCAGGCCACACCCCTGGGACACCCCCTTGGTCCTTGGTCAGATCAAGGCTGTGACCCGAGTCAGGGTGCTGCCTCCCACCCTCATACTGACTCATTACTGTAACAGACAACATCATCTAACCATTAATGTAACCTAATCCTGATCCCTGGTGGTGCAGTGGTTAAAGCATTTGGCTGCTAACCAAAAGGTTAGCAGTTTGAACCCACCAGCTTCTCATGGGAGAAAGATGGCACCATTGGAAACGGCTTGGAGACCCTGTGGGCAGTTCCACTCTGTCCTCTAGGGGCGCTGTGAGTCAGAATCCACTCCAGGGCAGTGGGTGTGGTTTGGGCTCTGCTTCTGTGAAGATTGACAGCCTTGGAGACCCTGTGGGCAGTTCCACTCTGTCCTCTGGGGGCTCTGTGGGTTGGACTCAGCAGTGGGTGGTGGGTAGTGGGGCCTCACTAACAACACACGGAGGGCTGGATTGATAGCACATCACAGGCACAGGCTGATGACATCAGGTTGCCTCTTGGAAGACGATTATATCACTGTGTAGCTGCCAGACCTCTGAGACCAGGGGCCCAGGCATGCTGACACACGTTTCTGGGGACAAATTCAGTCTGTGCCACAACTCTTCAGAAAGGGGCCATGGAAACACGCTGCTGGATGCCCTCCCCGCCCCCTTCATGCCCTGGCATTGCCAGCCAGGGCGGCTGGAGCTGAGGTCCCTCAAGTCTGCAGATGCCCCCCTCCCTGTGCCCAGCCCCCGGCCGCCCGTGGGCCCTCACAGCACCTCACAGCTCCTTGCACTAGCAGGCCCTTGGAGGCTTGCCTAGCTCGCAGATGGACCGACTGAGGCTGGAGGGACTACAGCCCCCTGCCCCGTTTGTGGTGTCCAGTGTGGGTGGCCACCACTGCCCCCCACCCTCCCTTCTCACACTGTGTCCTCTCCATGCAGAGGTGTGCTGCCTGCAGGCAGAGCCAGGGGCCGTGTGCCCTCTGGGCTCTTGTCCCTTAGGAGGTCAGCTGGTGGTGGGCTGCAGGGCGCTGGGGGAGGCTGTAGGCCTGAGGCAGACCCCACACACTACCCACTTGATGGTCAGTGGCTCAGATGCCGAGGACAGAAGTGTCCACACCAGTACATGCAGCTACAAGGCCTTAGCGAAGGGTGGGGACAGTTTCTAGGGGCCTCTGAGGCTGAAAGCCTTCGCAGGTGTTCCTAAGGGCAGGGGGTCCTCCTTGGAGTGTGGTCTCCTTGGCAGGACCCGTGGGTGTGCAAGGAGGGTCCCAGCCCAGCTCTCTGACCCTGCACCTTAGCCTGACACGCAGCCCCTGGCAAACCGCCTTGGCTCAGCAGCCTTTGCCCAGAGACCCTTACCCAGGCAGTGCTCCCCCAGGGGTCGGGCTGGTGGCGCTCACCAGCCCAGGGGTGATGTCTGTCCAAGAGTGTGCACATGCCCCTTCAGGCTCACGAATCCCCAGCTGGTGGGTGGGGAGAGGACACCTCCTGGCACCACAGAGCGGTCTGGCTGTGGGGCGTTTGCTCGCGGTGCCGCTGGTGCTGACAGCCACCTCGTCTGACGGGCTATTCCTATCCCTGCAGGCCCCTGGTGTTGAATCGCCAGTGCCCGGCCCCCACGGGGGCAGAGAAAGCCCCGCCACGCACCCCTCGGTGGCGGAACAAGGGCTACCGCTGCATTGGAGGGACCCTCTACAGGGTATCGGCCACCAAGCTGTCCAAGACCTCCAGCCGGGCCAGCGACGCGGGCAGCAGGCCGCCGCTCCGCACAGGTGAGGGTGCAGGGCAGGCGCTGGGCGGGGCTGCTGCGCGGGGTGGGGCCTAGGGCCAGGAGGTGGGACGGGGCGGGGCTGCTGCGCGGGGTGGGGCCTAGGGCCTGGAGGTGGGACAGGGGAGGGGGTGCTGCGCTGGGGGTGCTAGGAGGAGCAAGTGGGGGTACCGGGCATGGTGGGGGGCACCAAGGGGGGTGCCAGGTGGGGTGAGGGATGCAGGATACTCAGCAGCCATGCTAGGCGGGCAGAGGGCTTTTGTCAGCAGGAGGGTCTTCAGTGGTTCTGTGGGAGCCCTGCAGGGGGCTGCCTGCCTCCTCTGTCCCCCATCCACCCTTGCTGGCATGGGCACCCCATGGGGCTGGTTGGGCTTCAGCCGTGGATTGGAGAGGGTCTGAGGCTGGTTGGCCTGGTGCTCCAGGGACTCGCCCCAGCTGGAGGGAGTGTGCCTCCAGACTGCACACCTGGCCTTGGTGGCCAGCACTGGGAGGCAGGTGGCCGGCTGGGCAAGGCACATGAGTGCATTTTCCCCTGTGCTGGCCCTAGGGAGGCTGCAGTGCTGGGGGCGCAGGTGGGCTGGGCGTCCCTCTCCCACCAGTGGGTCCAGCCTCTGTGACCTCATGCCAGCGCCTGCCCCTTTGGACAAAGGCAGCGAGCCGGGTACAATAAGCAGGCCTGGTTTGTGAGTGTCTGGGCCCGTGCCCATAATCGTGTTGGCAACGCCTTGCCGACCGTGTCTGGAGGTGGCTCGGGAGAAGCTGGGGGAGGAGACGTTTGGGCTAGGTACAGACTGCTGGAAGAACGTTTTGGTCTCGGTCGGGTTTTATTCCCACCCTGTCTGTCATGAGAAACAGAGGTGTGGTCCTGGCGTGGGCTGGGTGGCCCTAGGCTTCTGTCCGCACACCCACTAGTGCTTGGGGAAGTGTTCTGGTGGGGCCGGGCATGGGTCGGGGTGGCGTAGCTCCTGGTGGGGCCGGGCACGGGTCGGGGTGGCGTAGAAGGCTGGTGCCTGCCACTCCTGTCCCTTCTTTCCCAGGCAGGCACGGCTCCCAGACAGAGGGTGGCCAGGGCCCAAGTCCTCAGACGTCCTTCGAGCTGTGCAGCCCCCATCCCACCAGGGCAGGGTTCTGGGAGTGGGACGGTCTGATGTGGGGTGGTGGGAGGCTGCCGTGCACTGGGGTCGGAGCACAGGGTCCGCGTCATATGCAGTGTGAGGGCTCTATGCCAGTTGAGCTTGGAGCTCACAGTGGGGCAGGGCCGTTACAGGTGGTGACGAGCGGGTCGGAAAGCAACCGTCTCGGGGCCGGGTGATACGCACACCAGTCAGGCTGACTCGGAGCCTCTGCCTTGGACCCTACGCCACAGAGGGGCCCGTGTGCGTGCAGGGGTTGGGGAAGGGTTGGCCGAGGCCCTTGGATGAGCACTGGGTAGAGGGTGCCAGGAGGCTTAGGAAGTGTGGTTGCAGGCGCAGGTCACTCAGGGCAGGCCATCCCCGTCCAGGTCATCGGCTCTGCTGTGTAACAAAGCTCCCAAAACTTGGAGACTCAGATCAGTGGCTGTGGCTTGTTTTCAGGGACCCACCCAACCATCGTCCACTGCCATTGAGTCGGATCTGACTCATAGCGACCCCTCCTTGGGTTTCCGAGGCGGTATCTCTACAGAAGTGGATTGCCCAGCCTTCCTTCTGAGGAGTGGCTGGTGGGTTTGAACCGCCAGCCTTCTGGTCAGCAGTCAGATGCCTTAGGCACTATGCCAGCAGAGCTCCTGTTCTCAGGGAAGGAGTTGGCCAAGGTTCTTCCAGGGAGTCAGCTGGGCTGGATGTGACCCCCAGGACAACCTGTCTCACCTGCCTGGCATCAGGCATGGGGGCAGCCGGACTTCCATCCCTGGCAGCATGCTGGCCTTGGCTCTACCTGTGGTGGGGACAGGTTCCCAGAAGCAAGACAGGGTGGCCCCAGCAATCACACGGGTGTCCATGGGTGAGGCCAGTGTCTTAGGGGGGTAGACGCTGTGCAAATAAACACAAAACGTCTCCCACGGGGTCAGCTGTGCTCGAAAACACCCACAGGTAATGAAGCAGCCATCTGTGTGGGGTGGTGAGGAACTGAGGAAAGGTCACCAGGACAGTGACCACTCCAGGCAGGTGGGCGGTCAGGGGGCCTGTCTGAGAAGCAAACCCGAGTGGGAGCATGGGGAGGTGAGGGAGCGGGGCAGGGCAGGTGTGGAGGAAGAGGGGCCAGGTGGGCAGCAGCCGGGCAGAGGCCCCAGGGCCTTGCAACAGCCGGTACAGCCGGTGTGTGAGGACTGACACCTGCCCTGGGCTACGGCAAGCAGGAAGAGTGTGGGGAGAGGAGGTCTGGGGTGCAGACCGTGTGGATGGCTCCAGTCAACACTGAGGCCTTCTGCGCACCATGACACCCTGGTCCCTAAAGCCCCTGGTTGCCCTGAAGCTGTGCTTATTGGCCTTGTGGAGAAGCAGTCCTGTGGCAGCTGTAGTCAGTGCCCAGCCTGGGTGTGTCAGCTGGGCAGGGAGCTGTGTCAGGCACACAGAGGCCAGGGGTAGGCTGCCCTCTGGGCCAGGCTGGGGCAGGCCACCAGGTCCTGCATCAGCCCACACTGAGGGGGCAGCCAGGTCCAGGTGACAGCCTCATCGCCGCCATGCCCTCCACCCCATTGTGGTGTGCTTGGCAGTCCGTCTTCCCCTGTCGCCATCAGGAAACCCTTGGCCAAGCCCTGGGCAGGTCTGGCTGCTTGAGCAGGGCGGGGCATGGTGCCTCCACTCAGAGCCTTCACCCAAAAGTGGTAGACAGGGCGCCGGGGCTCCTCGAGTCTGTCCCCTGTGACGGTGGCCAACGTGAGAGGAGAGGTGCTGGGGGGTGATGTGAAAGGCCATGTGGACGTGGCCTCAGAAGCGCCCATGGTGGCACCCGGCCATCTGTACGTCTGGGGAGCCTGTGTCTGAACCCAGGCGAGCTGCCTCCGGGTGGTGGTGCTCAGAGGCTGTGAAGAGCACGCTGAGGGCCCCGGAGGAGCTGTGAGGATCAGGGGACACCTCAGGGCCCCCGTGGAGGCCTGGCCTGCCTGCGGCTGCTCCAGCCCTGGCGCCCAGCCACATCCCCGCCCACCTGGCGTCCCGTCAGCTCTTCACGGGAAGCGGCTGTGCCCCTTCAGTGCTGAGCTCCACAGGACCCCACATTCCACGTTAACATGCGTGGCCGCCATCACCACAGCGACCATCACTGCAGTGGCCATCGTGTGAACTGGCCGTCTGTCCACGCCACTGGCTTCTGCCTCCGTCCCCCTCCATCTCCTGCTCAGCCTGGGGGCCGGGGCTTGAGGGGCTTTCCTGACCCGCCTGCTGCGTGGGGCCACGCACGGGGAGTCCGGCAGATGGCTCCCCTCGGCAGGGACGTCTGCTGACCAGCAAAGCCCGCTTCTATGAATAATAATTAAAGAAATAAATTTCTCACTCTGGTGTCAGCGAAACTTGGACTTCAGCGAGAAAGAGCTGGTCTCCTCAGAGGAGTGCCTTTCCAGGACAGCTGCCTGCCTGGCTCTGTGGGGGGGGGATATCCCCCTAGGCCCACCCTCCTCCACTCCCCCCAAGCTTCTCTCTCTGCTCCCTACCCACCCACGTGTCCCTGAGGGGCGGAACCGGGCCAGGCAGAGGGCCCTGGCGGCAGTGGTGGCTTTGCTGGGCAGCTCTGCTGGACCGCAGTCCTTGCCCTCTGCTCCGGGGAGGGGGGCACGGTCACAGTGTGACAGCTGAGGGCTGTTTCGGGGCGCTCCTGAGCTGAGTGCTCAGCGCCTGCGCTCCCTGTCGGTCGGTCGGAGTGTGCGTGGTACCTGCTAGCACCCCCTTCTCTGGTTCTCAGCCAGCGACTTTCTGTGCATTTTTTAGCACTGCAGAGGGAGGAGGGGCGTCACCCCCACAGAGCGCAGACATCTCTGTGAGAGCAGAACGTGGGAAGGGCCTGAGGGGCAGTGCTGCGTCCCACAGGCAGGCAGTCGGCCGGGAACAGATGGCGCTGAGGTGTCCCTGCACCCGGTGACAGTCGCCCAGGAAGGCCATGCCACCAATAGGCTCTCAGATTGTGTTCGGTCACCGCCCATGCGCACGCAGGCTGGCGGGCGGGGTGGAGCCGGCAGACAGGTGTCCTCGGCCTGTAACGGGATTTAACTATGGCCTTCTACCAAGGTGAAGGTGCAGTGCTGGCCGCCGGCCCCTCTCACCACCAGATCCGTTTCAGCAGTGCCCTGCAGAACATCTGTCAGGCTGTGTGGGTTGGAGGAAAGGGGCACCTGTGTACCCTACCACCTCTCTCCACTCAGCCTTCAGCCTTCAAGGCCCGCACCCCAGTCTGGCCATGCCGGAGGCCTGAACCCTGGTGGGGCTGCATCCCCCGGGCCCATGGCCCATTTCCCGTGGGCCACTCCTTCTGCCGTGAGCTGTGGTTGGGAGGTGGGGCCTTGGGAGCGGGTCCTGCAGGGGTGGAACAGGGCGACTCCTGCAGTAAGCACTACTAGCCGCTCCTCTGCTGGACAGACGTTCTTTGGTTTGGGTTTGGCTTTTTAACAACCTTTACAAAAGTGCAGACCATTCTGGGCACCTGTGGCCAGGCCGTGAGCACGATGGCCACCTGAAAGGTGGCTTTGCTGCAGGGGCTGTGACCATGCGCCCTGCACTCCACTCCACGAGGTAGTTCAGGGCAGGGCTGGGAGGGCAGCTATGCATTTGCAGGGCCGGCCTCCTGGGGGCCGGCCGAGCAGGAGCCTGCAGAATGCTTGGGCTTGTCACTGTCCAGCTTCAGGGACATCTGTCCTCCTGCCGCCCTGCCACATGGTTGCCTGACCACAAGGACAGATCTAGGGAAACAGGACAGGGGGCCACCTGATGGTTCTGGACCCACCGCAGCCCCAAGTAGGATCTAAGACTCAGGCCTTGGAGGCCCACATGTCGTATGGTGCACGGCAGACCGCCACCGCCAGCCTGCTGGTGCCGGCCCGACTGTCTTCCTCCAGGGTTTCAGGGCGGCTTCCTGGAGGAGGCAGCCTGCCTGAGCTGAGTGTAGGATTACTTGGGAGGGCTCAGGCAGGTGGGAGTGGTGGCAGTGGGTGCGGCGGGGCAGTGGGCAGTGGACAGTAGCCTGGCCGTGGGCTGGGAGTAACTGGGCCCCCCTCCACAGGCCGCTTGGACCCAGCCAGCAGCTGCAGCCGGTCCCTGGCCAGGTAGGTAGCTGGGGCTGGATGGGGGGTGCCCTGCTGCCCTGGGCTCAGCGCCGCCCCCCGTCCTGTCCACAGCCGGGCTGTGCAGCGCAGCCTGGCCATCATCCGACAGGCCAGGCAGAAGAGGAAGGGCAAGAGGGACGAGTACTGCATGTACTACACACGCTTCGGCCGCTGCAACCGTGGCGAGCACTGCCCCTACATCCACGACCCCGAGAAGGTGGCCGTGTGCACCAGGTGCCC